ATAAAATGCACCATTCATGTCCAAAAAGCCAAGAGCCAGGTGAATAGAGACATCTCTCTCTATCAGTGTACCCACGTCTCCAAGGGATCCAATACCAAGTGATGGATGTCTTCAAGGGATGTTATCTCTATTCCTATCATCTATTGAGGTAGAAGTTGTTGGATTTAGTTTCATCCTTTCGCCCCCCGTGCTTGAGCTGCTCCTAGCTCTTGGTACCTACTTTGGCTGGGTTGTTTTCTGTGTTGCAGATGTGTAAACAATCATCAGTATGATGCTTTCCCCTGGTGTTTTGAGCCCCTGAAGAAGCCCACCCGGCAAAACGTGTTGGGAGCTTCACATCACCTCTCCAACTTGAGACTACTCTATTATATACCAGCTAATGATGTCATGAGTATTCTGTAGAACAAATGATAGGAGAGGTGTTGGGGTTCACTGTACTGAAGGGTTGTCATCAATTTATTTTAATATTGTAGGGGAGGATTTATTTACTCCTGTGTTTTATGTTGTTAATTTTTTTATAATAAAACTTTTTATTTATATACCTGTATGTTTGAACATTTCTTCCTGAGGGTAACATGAGTACCTTATAAAAATCCCATATATTTCCTTATTTTCTTTTTTTCTGACCTATGTTAAGGGATGTGTTGCTGATGGATGAGCTATACCAGTATTATATTGATATCTTAATACTTACTGAGTATTGGTATACAGCAGCTGTCATTGATGAGTTTTTCCCACCGTTGGTGTATTGTCGTATTGGTGAAGTGTCCAAGGCTGGCCACACACAATGAAGTAGACAAGCATCCAAGGCTGGCCACACTTGGTGTAGTAATTTTTTGTTCAGCCTACTTAACAGCACTAACAGACTCCTCCATCCACACAGATGAGATGTCCCACCATAACATTGTGTTTTGACTGGCATCTGCTGCACTCTTAACATAATGACCAGTAGCTGCATCTGCTGATTGTTGTAACATTTTCCAGATTGTCCCTTCAAAAGAAGTCAATTAAATAATCAACTTCTTCTAAGTGGATAGCAGCTAAATGACAGGATTTCCCCTGCCCATTCACAGAATGGGGGAGTGTAGGAATATTAAAGTGATACTAAAGCCTTTGTTTTTTTTTCTTTTTAAAATAACAATCATGTCATGCTTATCTGCTTTGTGCAGTGGTTTTGCACAGAGCAGCCCTGATCTTCCTTTTCTCGGGTCCCCTGCTGGCGATTCTGGCTTCTCCCTCCTGAGCAGTGCCACCATAGCAATCTGCCTGCTATGTGGGTACTGGTATGTGCTCGTCCCCGAGCCCTGCTCTCTGCGTCCATAAGACACAGCAGAGCAGGACGTGTCCCCGCCCCCCACTCCCTCCTCACAGGCTGTGATTGACAATGGCTCCCGCTGCTGTGTCTCAGCCAATGAGGAGGGAGAGACCTGGGAAAGCCGAGTCTTCTGTGCACATTGCTCGACCGAGATCAGGCTCAGGTGAGTTTTTGGGGAAGGGGGGCTGCTGGGGCAGTTGCACACTGAAGGTTTTTTGCCTACAATGCATGAAAGTAAAAAATACTTGCGCCTTTAGAACCACTTTAAGTCTGTGAATGGCGGAGAGGGTAGGAGAGTTTTGGCCACCGGCACTACTTTTCTTTCTAGCAGCAGCTGCAATTAATTCTCAAATCACTGGAAAACCGAAACTCAGGGCAGTATCTGGTGGCTGTGAGGAGGCACAGCAGGGAAGATTTTTACAAGATGCAGCATCCTGCATGCAATGGGATACATACCATTACATATAACTAATATGTGTGGTGCTCAGGGGGGCGGACTGACCATTTGGAAACTCGGGCACTGCCCGAGGGCCCGGGGTCAGTAGGGGGCCCCATGAGATGCCCCTGGTACCTTTTTCATAGGCTTTTTTGAGTTTGGGCAAGGACACAGGGGCCCCATTATCCCCTATTGCCCGGGGGCCCCATGAGTTGTCAGTCCGCCCTTGGTGGTGCTGTATCCTAAAAAAGAAAAAAAAAACTAAACTTCAGTTTTAAACATGTAAATAAATATTTGGTTTTATAGGACCTCATTTGGTTTTGCAGGCAATACATTTTCTATTTCATGAATATTTTTCTCCATGGAAGGTGCCAATTATTACTTTATCAGCAGTCCCCAACACATAACTTTGTTGTACTGACTTGAAGCCTATTAACATATGTATTGATGTTCTTAATTCATAGGCAATTATGCTCCTGCAAGCTTGGCTATGGAAGTCCTCAGGATGCTTTGTGACCGCAAAGAATGTGCCAGTGAATGTTTGTACACTGGGGCTGTTATAGACAGCCTCCTTTCACCAATACAAAAATTACTCAGAGGAAAAAAGGTTAGTAACAGGGAATTATTAAAGGTGTTTTTTCCTATCAAAGAACCTGTTTGTAAATTACTAAAACTTTGATGTTCAGAACTATCTTACGGGCTTTTATGAATATAATGTAAATAAGACATAAGACTCAATTAACAAAGCTGACACACTAGGATAAAGATTCTTATTTTAAAAAAATGACAGTTGTTTTCAGTTGGGATTTAGACCTGCTGTCATTGTAGATTGCGCTTTTTTGTTTTAGTGCAATTTTTTTTTTCATCCTCCTATTTTTTTTGTCAATCATTTTTAATAGTTTCTGTGTTATTTGTACCTGAAATACAACCCAAATGCTTTTTATATAACAGGTAAAAAATTGCACATCAAAAAATAGTTTTTGCCATAGGAGACTGAAACTGTTATACAGGCGTACCTCGATTTATGAATGCCTTGGTTAACGTAATTTTTGGTTTACGAATGAAAATCCATTGAAAATTCCTCAGTTTACAAAATTTTTTCACAATACGAACAGATTAATTGGTTTTCGATGCATTTTCAAATTTTTTTAAATTATGTCCCTGTACAGTACTATGCCTTTAAAGTGCCCTTTATAAAGAGTTTTTAACAGATAAGACTTTTTTTTTACATTTTTCGGGCCACCAGTATGGATTAATTGGTTTTTAATGTATTTATGATTCTGTTTTTAATCATGTCCTTGTACAGTATGCCTTTAAAGTGCACTTTATAAAGAGTTTTGAACATATAAGACTTTTTTTTTTTTTAATTTTTCTGACCTCCAGAATGGATTAATTGGTTTTCACTGCATTTATGAATTTTTTTTAATCATGTCCCTGTACAGTATTTGTGTCTTTAAAGTGCACTTTATAAATAGTTTTGAACAAATAAAATACTTTTTTTTAACTTTTTAATTGGTTTTCAATGCATTTCTATGGGAAACCGCGTTTTGGTTTACAAACTGGCTCCCTGCCCTCCTTGTGTCCTGACCTTATCCTTTGTTCCCTCCATTTTGAAATATAGTTGTTAGATTGTTATTTGGGGTTTGCACAATCGCGTTTATTTTGTCACTTGCATTGTTTATGGTTTACTGGTGTTGGTGTTGTTGTCTCAACAAACCTATTTTAACCACTTCCATGCTGCCCTATAGCAGAAATACTGCTACAGGGCGGCACGGGTGTGCAAAATCACGTATATATACATGATTTTTCAGTTCCGTATAGGGGGCATGCACACGCGCCACTATTTGCAGTCTCAGCTGTTAATCACTTGGTCCCAGCCAATGATTACTCGTCGGCACCCAGTGATCGCCGAGTATCTACGACGGGGGAGAGACCTGTGTATATAAACAACACAGATCTCTCCCCTGTCAGCTCTTGCACACTGCTTTGTATGGCTCTGAATAGCAAAGCCATACAAAGCAGTGCGCTTACAGTGTAAAGCACACACACACCACAACCTGTGAAACAGCACACAGTTAACCCTTTGATCACCCCACATGTTAACCCCTTCCTGCTCAGTGCCATTAGTACAGTGTCAGTGCTTTTTATTAGCACTGATCACTGTATTGTTGTTACTGGGGATGTCAGTGACATCAAGTCAGTCCCCCACAGTGTCAGAATGCCCCCCGCAGTCCCATTATAAGTCACTGATCACCGCCATTACTAGTAAAAAAACAAACAAAAAAAAAAATTCCAGTATCTATACTGCAATTTGTAAACACTATAACTATCATGTAAACCAATTAATTTACACGTATTGGGATTTTTTTTTTTAGCAAACACACGTAGCAGAATACATTTTGGCCTAAATTTATGCCGAAATTAGATTTTTTTACTGGATATGTTCAATAGCAAAATGTCAAAAATATTGGGTTTTTTTTCTTAACATTGTTGGTATTTTTTTTGTTTATAACGCAAAAAAAAAATAAACACACAGGCAATCAAATACCACCGAAATAAAGTTCTATTTGTGGGGAAAAAGGACATAAATTTAATTTGAGTGCTTTGTTGCATGACCGCGCAATTGTCAGTTAAATTAACCCAGTGCCGTATCACAAAAAATGGCCTGGTCAGGAAGGTTGGTAAATCCTCAGGAGGGCAAGTGGTTAACTTTACCTCAGTCTGATTTCTGATTCCTTTTGGTACAGCCAACTGATTTAACCATTAGCCGCCCGGCCAATGGCCGTTTGGCGGCTTGAAAAGCGCTGCAGCTTTCCGGGTGAACGCCATTTGGCGTGCTCCCGCACATGCGCGGTTTGCGCGGTTGCAGAGCGACGCAGCAGTGTGATCTGTCACCGCCCGTGCACCTCGGACACGGCCGATGACAGATCCGAGTACCGGCTCCCGTTGCCGGTACCATATGACCTGCTGTGACCAATCACAGCAGGTCACATGACAGTTGTATACAATGGATGGCTTCATTCATGATGCCATCCATTGTATACTAGTGCCTAGCTGTGAATGGTCACAGCTAATCACATGCACATGTCATGTGATTAGCTGTGACCAAATCACAGCTAAGCACAAAAAAAAAAAAAAAAAGCTGAATGAATCGATGTCATTCAGGTAAATGCTTGCTTATAGCAAAGTAATTCTTTGCTATAAGCAAATTGTTTTAAAAAAAAAAAAAAAAAAAATACTGATCACTTCCCCAAAGTAGTACAGTGTTACTATGGTAACATTGTACTATTTTGGTCATAGTAAAATATGAAAAAAAATCTTAAAAAAAATAAAAAAAAATGTAATAAAAAATTAAATATAAAAAAAATTAAACAAAAAAAAATATATATATATATATTTTTTTTTTTCATACTGTCACCAGTCAGTGTCGCTGTTCACCGCCATGCCAGTTATATGATGACGCTGTACTGCACTGGTGACAGTATGTAAAAAAAAAAAAATAGTGAAAATAATTTTTTTAATTTTTTCATTTTCAGAAAAATTATGACAAAAAAATACAACTTCAAAAAACTCGCCATGCCTCTTATGAAGTACGTCGGACTGTCTACTCTGCAAAAAGGGGTCATTTGGGGGATATCTGTATTATTCTGACATTCTTGGACCTCAAGATATTAGATTGGCTGTCAGTACTTCAGGATTGATCAATATTCAGATCTATACCATAGTTTGTGAACTCTATAACTTTCCTACAAACTAAAAAATACATCCTAATTTGGGTTATTTTCACCAAAGACATGTAGCAGAATACATCTCGGCCTAAATTTATGAAGAACAATTATTTATTTGTAAACTTTTATAACAGAAACAAAGAAAAATGTGTTTTTTTTTCAAAATTTTTGGTCTTTTTTTGTTAATTTAGCAAAAAATAAAAACCCCAGCGGTGATTAAATGCCACCAAAAGAAAGCTCTAGTTGTGTGAAGAAAATGATCAAATTTTAGTTTGGGTACAATGTTGTATGACCGCGCAATTGTCATTCAAAGTGTGAGAGCGCTGAAACCTGAAAACTGGCCTGGGCAGGAAGGTGTAAAATTGCACGGTATTGAAACAGATAATTATCCTTGCTGGATGCTTGCATTCCTGACATAATATTGAAGCCACTAACAATTAGATCGGCTGCACCTGGGAATTGGGTCTCAGCATTTGCTAAGTGCTGCAAGATGCAGTCATAGGACACAGCGATCACCGGCAGCGCCTGGTGTGCGCCGCTGGGGGCAGGCAGGGGGGGTGTGTTCTGGAATGATGTCCCAGGATTACACAACCGCGCTGTAGCCGTCCTTCGGCTATAGCGCGGTTGGGAACCGGTTAAGCACTGCTTGTAACAGAGGATAGGTAATATTGCTGCCAAATTTTGAAAGCACAAACTAGGGAAGAGTTGTTGGAATGCATCCGTCTGGCTCACTCGTTGATCAAGGCAGAGTTTTGTATGGAGAAATGCAGCCACTCATTCAAATCTATGCAGCGTAGCATTCCTCAGGGTAGTGATGACTACTCCCCTCCTTTTAGTGTGTCTCAGGTGGAGCCCCTGGTGTGGAAGATGATAAACCCTATTTCCTTGAACATTCAATTTATTCACAAGAGGCTCTGCTAGATTGTATGAATGCAGTACATTCTCTAGTCAGGCAGGGGAATTGTGAATTGAGTTTTGTTCAGCCCCTACTTTAAACCTGGTCAGATATTACCTATTCAGCTTCAGTTAACATGAACCAAACTACTTCTGCCTCTAGACACCAGTTTGCTCAAAGATCCCCTTCTCCGTCACCCATAGCAACCACAACTGCAGCACAGTATGCTTTGCTTCCAACTGCATTTGACCCTGTGAAAACCCCCTCTACTACCCCATTGCCCCTGGCAACCCCTCAGAAATTTTCCTTTGCAACTTATTCTCATTTTCCACTCTCTCCATCCTGCTATTACTCCCCCATCTGCTGCAAAAATCTGTTCATAGCCCTGCAATCACTCAAAAGACTCCAGTGTCCAAACCTAAAAAGAAAAGGACATTTTTTCCAAATCACACAATTCTACCTCTGTCCTCTCTTGTCTCCATGCAAGCTGTTCAGTTCCCACCTGGCACAATGCCAGCTGCTGCAGTCCAGCCTGCCACGAGGTCAGCTGCTCCGGTCTAGCCTGCCATGAGATCAGCTGCTCCATTCCAGTCTGCCACGAGGTCAGCTGCTCCGGTCCAGCCTGCCATGAGGTCAGCTGCTCTAGTCCAGCCTGCCACGAGGTCAGCTTCTCCAGTCCAGCCTGCCACGAGGTCAGCTGTTCCGGTCCAGCCTGCCACGAGGTCAGCTGTTCCGGTCCAGCCTGCCACGAGGTCAGCTGTTCCGGTCCAGCCTGCCACGAGGTCAGCTGCTCCGGTCCAGCTTGCCACGCGGTCAGCTGCTCCCGTCCAGCCTGCTAATGGTCAGCTGCTCCGGTCCAGCCTGCCACGTGGTCAGCTGCTCTGGTCCAGCCTGCCACGTGGTCAGCTGCTCTGGTCTAGCCTGCCACGCGGTCAGCTGCTCCGGTCCAGCCTGCCACACGGTCAGCTGCTTCGGTCAAGCCTGCCACAACGCCGGCTGCTCTGGTCAAGCCTGACACCATACCTGTCACTCTGGTCCAGCTCATGATAATTGAGCCTTCTTCCTTTTACACCCTGTTCCAAATTATTATGCACATTCTATATAAGTGTCACAAAGATTAAATATTTTGTTTTTCAGTTTAACTCATGGATGGCATTGTGTCTCAGGGCTCTTTTGATCACTGAAAACAATCTCGGACACCTGTGATAATTAGATTGGCCGGTGAGCCCAATTTAGGGAAAAACTACTAAAGGAGGGTGTTCCACATTATTAAGCACAGCACCATTTTCAAGCAATATGGGGAAGAAAAAGGATCTCTCTGCTGCCGAAAATAATGAAATAGTTCAATGCCTTGGACAAGGTATGAAAACCTTAGATATTTCACGAAAACTTAAGCGTGATCATCGCACTATTAAGAGATTTGTGGCTGATTCAGAGCACAGATGGATTTGTGCAGCTAAAGGCACATTGAGGAAGATTTCTGCCAGATCCATGCATCGGATCCAGAGAGCAGCTGGTTGCATTACATAGCAGCAAACAGATATTTGAAGCTGCTGGTGCCTCCCCCACAGACATCAAGGTGTAGAGTCCTTCAGAGTCTTGCAACTGTGCATAAACCTTCTATTTGGCCACCACTAACCAATGCTCACAAGCAGAAACGGCTGCATTGGGCATAAAAATACATGAAGACTAATTTTCAAACAGTCCTGTTCACTGATGAGTGCCCTGCAACCCTGGATGGTCCAGATGGATGGAGTAGTGGATGGTTGGTGGACGGCCACCCTGTTCCAACAAGGCTGTGACGTCAGCAAGGCGGTGGTGGAGTCATGTTTTGGGCCGGAATCATGGGAACAGAGCTGGTCGGCCCCTTTAGGGTCCCCGAAGGTGTAAAGATGAACTCTGCAAAGTATGTGGAGTTTATGACTGACCACTTTCTTTCCTGGTACAGAAGGAAGAACTGTGCTTTCCGTAATAAAATCATCTTCATGCATGACAATGCACCATCTCATGCTGCAAAGAATACCTCTGCATCAATGGCTGCTATGGGGATAAAAGGAGAGAAAGTCATGGTGTGGCCTCCATCCTCCCCTGACCTCAATCCTATTGAGAACCTTTGGAGCATCCTCAAGCAAAAGATCTATGAGAGCGGGAGGCAGTTTACATCCAAACAGCAGCTCTGGGAGGCTATCCTGGCATCTTGAAAACAAATTCAAGCAGAAACTGTCCAAAAACTCACAAGTTCAATGGATGCAAGACTTGTGAATCTGCTATCAAATAAGGGGTCCTATGTTAAAATGTAACGTGACCTGTTAAGATGTTTAAAAAGTTAAAATGTTAAAAGTTTGATTGAAATAGCTTTTGATTTCAGTAAATATGCTGCAAACACAAGAAATGACAATTTTCAGTTCTTTACAACCTATAAAGTGTTACTTACTGTGCGTAATAATTTGGTACAGTGCATTGTAAGTTTTTTATGTTTAAAGAAAATACTGTTATCATTAGGAGGTTTGTTCAATAAAATTTGAATTGTACTCTTAACCTCCCTAGCGGTCTGATTATGTCCATATTTATGTGCTCAAAGCGGTACATTTTTTTGCATGGAAATATGTATTTTTTTTATTGTAGGTCTGTAATTTTTAGGAATAACTCACTGAAATCTGTCCGAACAAGAGTCTAGTAAACATCCCCGGCATGTTACAATTTGAAACACAAAATCATACATTATAATTTAATAAATACTCATAAAAAAATAATAAAAAATTTAATTCAATAATATAATCAAACCAAAAACACTGACATTTAAATTGAGCACAAAGTTCGCACATCACTGAGCAAAGTCGCAAAATCGTTTTCAGTGTCTGATGATGAATTTCCCCACGAATCATTATCACTCAATTCTGCAAGTGGTTCTAATTTACTATCGCTGTTCTCTAGCTGGTCTAAAACCGCTTTTGCCCTAAAGGGACGCTTTTTGGACGCCATGGACGTTTCTCAATTTCCAGGCAGAAAGAACAGTAAAAATGCAGGCAGGGCACAGGACAAAGCACTCTGGACAAAATGTATGTGAAATGGTTTGATACAGTAATGTTTTACTATGCGATTTTAGTGTATTTAGTGAATGTCACTTTTTGTCATTTTCAAATTTCCCGCCGTTCCGTCCCTCATACGTCCCGACACTCGCAGGGGACAGAACCCAGATGACAGATGCCGGCATCCGCCGGAGGACATTGCCAGGGACACTGCAGGAGGGAAATCGCGGGAGCGCAGGACAAGGTAAGTGATCGAGGGATCCCAGAGCAGCGCCGCATGGTAAGCCCAAGTGTAGCTCGGGGTTACCGCTTGTGGTACTGAAACTTTACCCTGAGCTACACTCGGGAATACCGCCAGGGTGGTTAATAGTTGATAACATGAGAATTATGCTGACTGTTATTTACATCAATTATTTAGGTAAATGAGAAAAATATAATTTGCATAATAATTTGGAACAGGGTGTACATATGGGGGATTCTCAGCAACCAGGCCTCACCCTACGGCAATTCCATCTGTTCAAGCCTGTCTTAGGAGTACCATCCAACCTTTGGACAGACTGCTTCATTCCACCAAGTGGGGGCCTCGTCCTTTGCTCCAAGGCAACCTGAATCCAACCTGTGTGCCAGTGACCCAGCTTAACCTTAACTATATGTCACCTGCTGTCCAGCCAATAGGTTCTCTGTCCACCAGGGGCGAACTGACCATTTGAGCGCTCGGGCACTGCCCGAGGGCCCGGGGTCAGTAGGGGGCCCCATGAGATGCCCCTGGTTCCTTTCATTGGCGTTTTCATAGGCTTTTTTCGGTGTGGGCGAGGACACAGGGGCTTCATGATCCCCTATTGCCCAGAGGCCCCATAAGTTGTCAGTCCACCCCTGCTGTCCACCATCCAGTTTGGCTCCATAGCCCTTCTTCTGGCTGATCAAACTGACCTCTCTGATTCCCTGACCATTTCTCAGGCTGATGGCATGCTGCCTACTAATGGAATACAGTCCCTTTCTATACTGCCCATCAATGGGATTCAGTCTGCCACTGGTGCCCTGCTGTCTGCTGCCAAATCTGCCACAGGTGATGTAACATCTGCCAAGTTTGCCTCACATGCTCCTTTGCCTGTTGCACAGCTTGGTGGTCCTGTGTCTGCTGTTCAGCCAGAAGATCCTGTTCCTGATGCCCAGTCTGAGATTCCTGTTCCTGATGTCCAGCTAGAGCAGCGGTTCTCAACCTGGGGGTCGCGACCCCTTTGGGGGTCGAACGACCCTTTCACAGGGGTCGCCTAAGACCATCGGAAAACACACATTTCCGATGGTCTTAGGAACCGAGACACCGCTCCTCTAGCCGTCTCCAGGTGTGGGCGGGATGACATGCAGTCCCTGTCATCTGGACACACCCCGGGATCAATCCTCGCCGGTGATTGGCCGCCGGAACTGTAGCTCAGGAGAGGCACACAGGCAGCCAATCACCGGCGAGGAGGTGGAGCTTGGAGAGGAGGAGTCGAGCGGCACCGCGAAGATCAAGCGAGTGAAGAGGAGGAGAGCGGCCGGAGAAGGAAGACATCTGACCGGTAAGTGTCGGTACCATGGGAGAGGGAGGGAGCGAGCGAGCCCAGGCTGGAGCAGGGGTCAGCAAGGTAAGTATCATTGGTGTCAGTGGGAGGAATAGTGCCCCATCATTGGTGTCACTAATACCAATGATGGGGCACTATTCCTCCCACTGACACCAAGGATGGGGCACTATTCCTCCCCCCACTGACACCAAGGATGGGGCACTATTCCTCCCCCCACTGACACCAAGGATGGGGCACTATTCCTCCCCCCACTGACACCAAGGATGGGGCACTATTCCTCCCCCCACTGACACCAAGGATGGGGCACTATTCCTCCCCCCACTGACACCAAGGATGGGGCACAATTCCTCCCCCCACTGACACCAAGGATGGGGCACGATTCCTCCCCCCACTGACACCAAGGATGGGGCACAATCCTCCCCCCACTGACACCAAGGATGGGGCACAATCCTCCCCCCACTGACACCAAGGATGGGGCACAATTCCTCCCCCCACTGACACCAAGGATGGGGCACAATTCCTCCCCCCACTGACACCAAGGATGGGGCACAATTCCTCCCCCCACTGACACCAATGACTGGGCACAATTCCTCCCCCCACTGACACCAATGACTGGGCACTATTCCTCCCCCCACTGACACCAATGACGGGGCTCTATTCCTCCCCCCACTGACACCAAGGATGGGGCACAATTCCTCCCCCCACTGACACCAAGGATGGGGCACAATTCCTCCCCCCACTGACACCAATGACTGGGCACTATTCCTCCCCCCACTGACACCAATGACGGGGCTCTATTCCTCCCCCCACTGACACCAATGACGGGCACTATTCCTCCCACTGACACCAATGACGGGGCACTATTCCTCTTACTGACACCAATGACGTGGCACTACTCCTCCCACTGCAAAATTACAGTTATGAAGTAGCAACAAAAATAATTTTATGGTTGGGGGTCACCACAACATGAGGAACTGTATTAAAGGGTCGCCGCATTAGAAAGGTTGAGAACCACTGAGCTAGAGGATCCTGTTCCTGATGCCTAGCTGGAGGGTCCTGTTCTTGATGCCCAGGTTGGCTGTCCTGTCTCTGGTGCCCAACCGGAGGCTCCTGTCCCTGATGTCTAACCGGAGGGTCCTGTGCCCAATGACCCAGCTGCCTTTGACAGTCCTGTGTCCAACAACTTGCCTGCCTCTGAAGATCCTGTTCCTGATGACGAGCCTGCCTCTGATGGTCTTCTGCCTGATGCCCAGCCTGATGGTGCTCTGCCTGATGCCCAGTCTGTCTCTGATGGTTTTCTGCCTGATGCCCAGCTAGTCTTCTAGGGTCTCATGTTGCTGTCCCTCTAGCAGCCATTTGTTGCGCCAAAGCTTGATAATTCGCATACCCACTTTGGAAGTAAGAACTGCATTCCCCAGTTCAGCCACAGCAGTAGAAGCCTTCTTGTTTCCATCTGAACCTTGCCCTGACCTAGGTGGTATATCTGCAATCCTAGGTGCATTAGGGGACCCTTGCTGAGTAACCAATGTCTTGGGTAGACCTGTGTGGCTGTTAGAGGGTGGAACAATTTCTGTCAAACCAGATGTGGAAGGTCTGACCGCATGGCAGGCTGGACCATAGCAGCTGACCACATGGCAGGGGACACCCTGGCATCAGTGATGTTACATGGATCAGGGATTCTGGTGTCAAGCCTTCAGCTGGCCTTTAGGGTCCCATTGTTGGGACATGTGTTGCATTAAAGGCATGGAGATTTTGGATGTTGAGCCTCGTCAGCTTTAGGCAGAGTGTCCAATTGTCAAACCTGTAGACTTTCTTTACATTCTAAAGCAAAATTAAGCACAGGTCTAGTCTGGATTATGGTTAATGAATAGCTGGAGAGGAGTTGATGGCAGTGTATGATAGCTCTAATTTGTAATGAAATACCATCTTTGTTGTAAGAGCATATGTTGTATATACATCCTAAGTATAAATCTGTGTATGTACTTCTCGTTAACACTTTTACTGCAAAGTCCGTGCGGTGTACGGACCTACAGCACCACTTCCAGCTGGTCAGGTTCTTATGCCATAGAGACCTGTCATTTCTCCTTCTGCTAAAAGCTGAAGGGGCTAGAGAGCCAGTGATCAGAGCTATTCAATGAAAATGTTCCCCCACTCCCCAGCCGATGCTACCGCTTTCCTGTATCTTCAGCCTCCCCACCTCCTGCCACTGTTCTTGACATCTTAAATGCCCCCACTCTTTTGCATGCTTCCCCCCCAGCACCATCCCCCCCCTCAACCAGGACCACTTGTAGTTAAAAATGTTCAAATACATCGCCACTGCCACTCTGGACCCCCCCCCCCCCCTGCAATGTCCCCCCCATGATCTCCTAGCATCCATCTCCGCTGTTCTGCTGGCCGGCATTCCCTCCTACCCCTCCTGCTGGTTACAGCTGCTGCTGGGGCAAGAGATTGGTGTCAGGATGTAGAGCAGAGGGGGCTGGTCAACACCAGCCCCCTTCCTTTCCTGAATGAATGTTTGGTACCGATCACTTATGTGTTAATTCAGCACCTAAGCATAATAAACAATGTTTGCTATGCTTCAGTTTGTGAATGAATAGGAGTCTCTATACAGAGATTTCTATTCATTCATTTGCAGTGCAGCTGAGACTTCAGAGAAACGGACTGTCTACAATTGCAAGGCTTAAAAAAACAAGCATTTTTTTTTTTTATTCTACAGGTCATGCGCTTATAGAAAATGTGTAGTTTAGGGGGTCTTTTACAAACTCTTAAAGCTGTAAGTGAAAAATTAAAACCTTAGATTTTTAGAGTAAATTGTTTTTATTTACAGTTTTGCACACCTTCAGATTTCACAAATTTCACCATTTCACAAAAAAGCACAATCTAAAATGTATAAATATTTGTTATTTATTACCTCAATACAGTTTAAGCTTTTATATTTAGCATGACTTTGGCAGTAATTTTGTAAATGTTGCCAAGTATGTATCCACTAATAATGATTTTAGTCTATTTTTCGCTATGTTTGATAAAACATTTGCACAAATATCACAGGGCTTAATAAAAAAATCAATAGCACCTTCGCTTTATTCTAGTGGTCCTATGCTTTCAGAAAATGTATGATTTGGGGAGGTCTTTCGCAAACTCTGAAGGCTGTAAGGGAAAAAGAAAAGAGCAATGGAAATATTGAGTCCACATAAGTTTAAAAGTGGAGAGCAGGGCCTGGCAGCGAAAGGGTTAAAGAGTCAACTTTAATCTTTGAGCTTTGCTAAAAATTCCTTAATAAAGGGGCTTTAAAAAACTGGGAGGAGGAGGGCACCTTCTTACCCATCCTCTGACCTATGAAGGCTAGCTGATCTGGTGCTCTAAAAACGATCCATCAGACTGCCAAAGTTTTCACAGCTACTTTCTTAACATTCTGCAGCTCCAGCCTGGCAAGTCCGTGATTCCAATGGGTCTTCTGAAGTTGAAGCTGTATCATAAAACCTCTTTTTTTTTTTTCTGACTTTGAAACTGCCTTCGTACGAGAGAAATATTGCCATCCTTGATTCTGCAGTATTGTAGCTCTTATATTTGTTCTTTTCTTGTTAGGAAGCCTTGGTGTGACAAAGGCTTGCCATTGAAAAGAAACTTGTTCCACTGTGACAGAATGACATCCCTTTAGATATCAAATTTAATATGCTACACTGATGCTGACTGTGAAGGGGTTTATGTACCTGTGCTCTGCTTTACTGCTGACAACCACCTCTGTGCTTGAAGAGGGCACAGTAGCATGCTGACATTGAAGGCAGAATTTTGTCAAAGCTGTGATGAATAACCAGCCATAAAAAGAGAGAAACTAAAAAATGAGTTTTCAAATGCATGCTTTAATGTCCAGTACTGATCCGTTCACTCACTTCTATTTACAACTTTATTAAAAAATAGATTTCAGGAGTCCATTAGGCAGTTTGTTATAGTTATATTTTTGCAAAGCAACAACTGCATGACAGTCAGTCGAAAAATACGTTTGGAAAATATTGTATTTCCTGTTATGCTGCCTTTTCTTTTGAAAGTATTCTAAGTTATTGCAAGAATTTTTTATTGATTTCTCTTTACAGCCCAACTCCAATGAAATCTGTTTTCCTGTTTTGCATAGAGTGGAAAAAAGTGTTTAAAACTGTAGTCATAGGAAGGAGTTTTTCTTTCACTTTATTTGTTGTCAGTGGGACAGGTATGAGTGAGTAAGGAAGAATTCCGTCTTATTTTTTTTTTATACTGCGCAGTCCCACAACTTGAAATTGACTTTTGACAAATAAAAAAA